TAACAGTCAAAACAGCCAGCTAGCATCAAAATGGCAGTATCAAATTCACACATAACAATATTAACCCTAAATGTAAATAAACTAAATGCACCAATTGAAAGACACAGACTGACAAATTGGATAAAAAACCTAAACCCATCAGTGTGCTGTATCCAGGAAACCCATCTCACATGCAAGGATACACAAAGGTTCAAAATAAAGGGATGGAGGAAGATTTACCAAGCGAATGGAGAGCAAAAAAAAGCAGGAGTTGCAATTCTCATCTCTGATAAAATACACTTTAAAGCAACAAAGATCAAAAGAGACAAAGAAGGTCATTACATAATGGTAAAAGTATCGATACAACAAGAAGAGCTAACAATCCTAAACATATATGGACCCAATACAGGAGCACCCAGATACATAAGGCAAGTTCTTAATGACTTACAAAGAGCCTTAGACTCCCACACAATAATAGTGGGAGACTTTAACACTCCACTGTCAATAATAGACAGATCAACCAGACAGAAAATCAACAAGGATATCCAGGGCTTGAACTCAGACCTGGAACAAGCAAACCTGATAGACATTTACAGAACTCTCCACCCCAAATCCACAGAATATACATTCTTCTCAGCACCACATCACACCTACTCAAAAATTGACCACATAATTGGAAGTAAAGCACTGCTCAGCAAATGCAAAACAACTGCAATCATAACAAACAGTCTCTCAGACCATAGTGCAATCAAGTTAGAACTCAGAATTCAGAAACCAACCCAGAACCGCACAGCTTCATGGAAACTGAACAACTGGCACTTGAACGTTGACTGGATAAACAATGAAATGAAGGCAGAAATAAAGAAGTTCTTCGAAACCAATGAAAACAAAGACACAACATACCAGAATCTCTGGGACACATTTAAAGTAGTCTCTAGAGGAAAATATATAGCAATAAGTGCTTATATGAGGAGAATGGAGAGATCCAAAATTGACACTCTATCGTCATAATTGAAAGAGCTAGAGGAGCAAGATAAAAAAAACTCAAAACCTAGCAGAAGACAAGAAATAACTAAGATCAGAGCTGAACTGAAGGAGAGAGAGACACAAAAATCCTTCAAAAAAATCAATAAATCCAAGAGCTGGTTTCTTGAAAAGATCAACAAAATAGACAGACCACTAGCCAGATTGATTAAAAAGAAAAGAGAGAACAACCAAATAGACACAATAAAAAACAATAAAGGGGAAATCACCACAGATTCCACAGAAATTCAAACCATCATCAGAGAATATTACAAACAACTCTATGCACATAAACTAGTAAACCTAGAAAAAATGGATAAATTCCTGGACTCCTGTGTCCTCCCAAGCCTAAACCAGGAGGAAGCTAAAACTATGAATAGACCAATAACAAGGTCAGAAGTCGAGGCAGCAATTAAGAGCCTACCACACAAAAAAAGCCAAGGTCCAGATGGGTTCACAGCCGAATTCTACCAGACACACAAAGAGGAGCTGGTACCATTCCTTCTGAAACTATTCCAAATATTCCAAAAAGAGAGAATCTTTCACAAATCATTTTATGAGACCAACATCATCCTGATACCAAAACCCGGCAGAGACCCAACAAGAAAAGAAAACTTCAGGCCAATATCTATGATGAACATAGATGCAAAAATCATCAATAAAATATTGGCAAGCCGATTGCAACAGCAAATCAAAAAACTTATCCATCATGATCAAATAGGATTCATCCCGGGGATGCAAGGCTGGTTTAACATACGCAAGTCTATAAATGTAATTCACCACATAAACAGAACCAAAAACAAAAACCACATGATTATCTCAATTGACGCAGAGAAGGCCTTTGACAAAATTCAACAGTCCTGTATGCTAAAAACCCTCAATAAACTCGGTATCAATGGAACGTATCTCAAAATAATAAAAGCTATTTATGACAAACCAACAGCCAATATCATACTGAATGGGCAAAAACTGGAAGCATTCCCTTTGAATACTGGCACTAGACAAGGATGCCCTCTTTCACCACTCCTATTCAATATAGTACGGGAAGTTCTAGCCAGAGCAATCAAGCAAGAAAAAGAAATAAAGTGTATTCAAATAGAAAAGGTGGAAGCCAAATTGTCTCTATTTGCAGACAACATGATAGTATACCTAGAAGACCCCATTGCCTCAGCCCAAAAACTCCTGAAACTGATAAGCAACTTCAGCAAAGTCTCAGGATATAAAATCAATGTGCAAAAATCACAAGCATTCCTCTACACCAATAACAAACTTAAAGAAAGCCAAATCAAGAACGAACTGCCACTCACAATTGCTACAAAAAGAATAAAATACCTAGAAATACAACTCACAAGGAACGTAAGGGACCTCTTCAAGGAAAACTACAAACCACGGCTCAACGAAATAAGAGAGAACACAAACAGTTGGAGAAACATTCCATGTTCATGGTTAGGAAGAATTAATATAGTGAAAATGGCTATATTGCCCAAAGTAGTTTACAGAATCAACGCTATTCCCATCCAGCTACCATTGACTTTCTTCACAGAACTAGAAAAACCACCATGAACTTCATATGGAACCAAAAGAGAGCCCCATAGCCAAGTCAATTCTAAGCAAAAAGAACACAGCGGGGGGCATCACACTACCGGATTTCAAACTATACTACAAGGCTACAGTAATCAAACAGCATGGTACTAGTACCAAAACAGAGATATAGACCAATGGAACAAAACAGAGGAATCGGAGGCAACACAACATCTCTACAACCATACAATCTTTGATAAACCTGACAAAAACAAGCAATGAAGAAAGGATTCCCTGTTTAATAAATGGTGTTGGGAAAACTGGCTAGCCATGTGCAGAAAGCAGAAACTGGACCCCTTCCTGACACCTTACACTAAAATTAACTCCAGATGGATTAAAGTCTTAAACATAAGACCTGGCACCATAAAAACCCTAGAAGAAAATCTAGGCAAAACCATCCAGGACATAGGAGTAGGCAAGGACTTCATGACCAAAACACCAAAAGCATTGGCAACAAAAGACAAAATAGACAAATGGGACCTAATCAACTCTACAGCTTCTGCACGGCAAAAGAAACAGTCACTAGAGTGAATTGGCAACCAACAAAATGGGAAAAAATGTTTGCAGTTTACCCATCTGACTAAGGGCTGATATCCAGAATTTACAAAGAACTCAAACAGATTTACAAGAAAAAAACAAACAAGCCCATTCAAAAATGGGCAAAGGATATGAATAGACACTTTACAAAAGAAGACATACATGAGGCCAACAGACATATGAAAAATGCTCATCATCACTGGTCATCAGAGAAATGCAAATCAAAACTACATTGAGATACCATCTCACGCCAGTTAGAATGGCGATCATTAAAAAATCTGGAGACAGCAGTTGCTGGCAAGGATGTGGAGAAATAGGAACACTTTTACACTGCTACTGGGAGTGTAAATTAGTTCAACCATTGTGGAAGACAGTGTGGCGATTCCTCAAGGCCTTAGAAATAGAAATCCCATTTGACCCAGCAATCCCATTACCGGGTATATATCCAAAGGACTATAAATCGTTCTACTATAAGGACACATGCACACGAATGTTCACTGCAGCACTGTTTACAATAGCAAAGACCTGGAACCAACCCAAATGCCCATCGATGATAGACTGGACTGGGAAAATGTGGCACATATACACCATGGAATATTATGCAGCAATCAAAAATGATGAGTTCGTGTCCTTTGTGGGCACATGGATCAATCTGGAGAACGTCATTCTCATCAAACTGACACAAGAACAGAAAATGAAATACCACATGTTCTCACTCATAGGCAGGTGATGAACAATGAGGACACATGAACACAGGGAGGGGAGCACTACACACTGGGGTCTATTTGGGGGAATAGGGGAGGGACAGTGTGGGGGGGAGTTGGGAGGGATAGCATGGGGAGAAATGCCAGATGTGGGTGAAGGGGAGGAAGGCAGCAAATCACACTGCCACGTATGTACCTATGCAACTATCTTGCATGTTCTGCACATGTACCCCAAAACCTAAAATGCAATTAAGAAAAAAAGAATTAAATGTATAAAAACCACATTTATTGACTGGTACTAGCTATTTGCAGAACTATTTTAAAGAGAATATTGCTACAATTAATACTGGGGAGAAGTCCCAGAATAATAATAATGACTATAATGAATGAAACATCCACTATATGCCAGGTAGTTAATATCTGTTCTGTCTTATTTGCAGAAAAATCTTGAAAGGTATACTCTATTTTCAGAGATAATTGATTCTTAGCAGGGTTAAGTAACTTACATGAAATTATTCATTAAATAAATGGCTATTATAAGTGTTTAATCCTAAATTTGCCTAAATTTACATTCCCTTTCCACAAAAATATTCTATATTCTTTCCACTAAAAATACACTACTCTGAAAACAATTTTTGTTGTAGAAGACTCTGTGGTCTAATCAAAGTTTGGGATCTCCCTGAAGAAAGATTATGTTAACAGATTCTTTTTAACATAAAGAATATGTTTCCTGGGTAAAATATATGAATCTCAGAAAATATTCGGTGAGACAGCATTAATCTGGTCATGCCTTTATTCAACTCTATTCAGGGTATGGAAACAATATATCTAGTGTACAGGAGTTTTTCATTCCCTAGGGGAGATTTATTGTAGTTTTTGTTTTACTTGTGTGCCTGATTTTGTGATAAGGAAGTGTTTTGTCAAGTCTTAACAGTTCCTGGACAAAATCTCCCTTTAAAACTACCTAATCATATTTCATAATTCTTGCTTGCCATGGAATCAGCAGGTTTATAATTTGGTTTCCTAGATACCCTGAAAGCAGGAGGGGGTGACCTAGAAAAACTAAATGAGTGCTCTAGTCACTGACTGTCACACATTTGATCATAAGTGAACAATCAGAATTCTGTTTGAGTCATCAATGTCTCATGAATATATTTGGTGGGTAAGATTCTGAGGTGTCTAGTCATCTGAGGCTACACTGATGACACAGAGTTTCTTCAACTACAAGGGTGAGGGTCAGCATGTGCTAACAGAGATTTCATGTAAACAAGGCCCCCCTGTAATGTTTTCTATGAAATCTGTAAGAAGGCTTAGAGCTACATCTTACTCTTTCACTGATTAAAGGTGAGTCTCTTATTTTATTGATGTTCTGCCTAATTATTATCTATTCACAGGGACATTATTCTTTCCAACTAATCAGTGTTTGGCAATTAGAGGCAATCAAGTACAGTTCATGTCTCTATTAAAGTGGGAGTGATTCAAATGAAATAAATCAGAAACATTAATCAATATGGCTATGTATTTTGTGCCATGAATGAAGACTTTTAATATATCATCTATGCTGACTGAAAAGTAGAAAAAAAGTTTTGTTGCATTTTTTGTAATTTTTGAAAAGTACTGAGATACTGTGATTGCTTAGTAGGAGTGGGAACAGATCAAAGAAGACAGTGAATAAGACAACTATAAAGAATAATCATGGTATGTTAACAAACATATTAAAGGTCATTCAAGTCCAAGGAATATGTGCATACTTAAGTGATGTGTAAGCATAAATAAAATCATAAGCAAAGTCAGTCTCATCAAAATGCCAGTGCTATGTATGGAATTCCCATTGCCCAAGTGACAGGGAAAATCACAGGACAACTGGAGTGAAGCCTTGGCTTTGTCACGTAATCATTAGCCATATGACCTTGGTTGTACAGCTCAGCTTCTCTGAGGGTCAGATTTTTTCATCTGTAAATGAAGATAAAGTACTTATCTCTTGGAAATTTTTAAAAATTAAAGATGATTATGCATATGTCTATTTTGAGAGAGTTAATACAGTTACATTTTCTCCTGGGAGCACAGCTAAATTACATTTTCCAGCCTCCCTTAGAGTTAGGTGGGACCATAAGATTAAATTTTGGGCAATGGGAATTTGGAAATGATGAATGTCATTTTCAACAGGAGGTTCTAAAATGTCCTCCACAGTCCAAGCTCAGTCTCCTACTTGATGGCTAGATAACTTTAGGACTTCAAAGAGTATGCTAGGAATCTGAAGAAGTATTCACCAGACTTAGTTGTTACATTGCTGCACTACCAGATGACCTTCAATAGACTATGAAATGAACATAAATAAATGATTTGGTTATAGTTGTATGGAGTGAATTTACACTATCAAAGACCACAGAAAATGTTATTTTCTTTTTTCTGTTAACTAGTAGCGTTTGAGTAGCAAACAGTTAAAGGGAAATCTACTGCCTGACAAAACAAACACAGTTGATCTGATTTAATTAAGTTGTTAATTTAACATTTATTGAACCCGTATGTGCCAAGAACCATTATAGACACTGGGAATGGATGATAGATTCAACATAGTTCCTGCCCTCATTTAACAAATATTTTAGAGAATGAAATAAATAAGCAATTTACACATGCACACACACATGCATGCACACACACACACAAACATGTGCACATGCACACACACATTGGGTAATTAGCTCTATGAACAAAAATTTAACAGGCTTACACCTGTAATTCCAACACTTTGGGGTAGTGAGGCAGGAGGATACCTTGAGGCCCTGATTTTGAGACCAGCCTGGGGATGTAACGAGACCCCCCATCTTTACAAAAAATTTTGAAATTAGCCAGGTGTGGTGGCATAAGCTTGTAGTCCCAACTACCTGAGAGGCTGAGGCAGGAGGATCTTTTCAGCCTAGGAGTTTGAGACTGTGCTGAGCTATGATCATGCCATTGTACTCTAGCCTGGGCAACAGAATAAGACCCTGTCTCTTAAAAGAGAGAGAGGGAGAATACAGTATGATGAAGGACTGTTTTTAAAAGGGAGTTCTGAGAAGACTCCTTGGGAGGTAACATCTCAACTGAGTGTGAGAAAGAAATTCTCAACTCCAAAAGCAAATTGCAAATGTAAATGCGTGAGTTAGAAACATGCTTGGCACATCTGAGGACTATCAGGGAGGTAAGAGTAAGTAGAGACTTAGTATAGGTAAGAGCAAGAGTGGTAGGAAATGAGGCCACAGACATAAATAGGGCCAGATCAGGTAGAAACAAGACCATAAAAAGGACTTTAGGCTTTATTTGAAATCTGATGTGAATCATGGAGCAGTTGAGACCAGAGAAATGACATGGCTTAACATTTTTTAAAGTAGCCACTCTGGCTACTGTGAAAAGAACAGTCTGTAAAGGGTAAAAAAAATAGTTAGGAAGCGGCTGGGATAATCCACAGGGGAGGAGGTGCTGCCTGAGCTAGCATGGTAGTGATGAAGGCAATGCAGTGGCGGGTTTGGAATACATTGTTAAAATGCAACAGACAAGATTGCTCCTGCACTGGATATTGAATATGAGAAAAACAGGGAGGTCGCGCAAAACTCCAAGGTGTGATCTGAGAAACTGAGCAAAATCTGGTACTATTTGTTGAGAGGGGATAAACTGTTGAAAGGGCAGTTTTGGGGTGGCCATAGGGAAAAGTCAAGGGGTCTGGATAAATTATAGGATCTTGAAGTTATGCCAGTGAAATATCCATAGTTTACTCTTACATCAATTGTCTTCATATTAAAAAGTTTTGAAAAGTTAGGTTGCTCCATACCAAAGACCTTTTCCCAGTAGCTCTGCAGGCATCCCAGGAGAAAGAGTGCCTTTAGCACTGAAGTGGCTTTGAGGGCAGCTAGGATGTGAGTTCCTGTGTTGGATACCTCTTGTACTCCACCTGACCTCTTGGCCCAACTTTTATTCCGGCCTTTGCTTCAGCATACAGATTTGTGCTGCTACGACCTGACACCTGCCTTTCTATACTGCACTGAAATTCCCTGAAGCCCTAGTGTGGGACACACGTGGAATCCACGTGGGACAGACACATATGGACTTGGATGTGTGAAAAGATGGAGCAATAGCTTCCTGATCTTCCAGTGATCACAATGGTAATATGATCTTTAGCTCCATATTTCCAGAGGCAGCCTCCTGATTTCCTAGCATCTGATGGTGCCAGAAATAATAGCTCACTTGGGAAGTCAGTCATATGATGTTTGCGGAATTATTCTAGTGGGTCTGAAACCCACTCCTCTAGTGTCTTTAATAATTTGGTGGGCACCTACTTCTCTGTGTCAGATTACTTTTTGCTTAAGACTTTAAGGTATTAATTCTTTTTTCTCTGAACTTTGGCTGATAAATGCAGATTATTCCTGTACTAATATTACACTCCAGGAACCAGTAATTTCTACAAGCTGCATTGCGGTCTTATCACAATTGCTGGACATTTACACAACAGGTCCTTTCCAATAATCCCCAACCCTAGGATAAGTCTGAAGACTGAGGATTGCCAACAGGGCTCTGAATAACAACCTTCTGCAAACACCACCACCACCACAGCCTCTGGCACAACTTTGATTCCCCTCCTTGTAGAATACACATTAAACAGCCAAATACTGGAATTCTGTTTAAGACAGAAGGCTCCATAGTCACTCCACAATTCAAAATCCTGATTTTAAGGTTCACTGAACAAGCAAGTTAGCACTTCATAAGCAGGTTTCCTAAATAGAGAAGAATTAAATCATTGTACTGTGAATTACATACATATATGTATATATTGTATCCACAGAATTATAAAGCAAGTAGAGAAAAATATGTATAAACTTGGCAAATCCAGATAAAGGGTATATAGGAGTTCCCTGTACTATTCTTGCAAATTTGCTGTAAGCTCAAATTATATCAAAATAAAAACCTATTTTAAAAAATAAAGGGAATATTTAAGGATATAGCAAGAATCTTCAATTCTGAGCAATGTCATTAGGATCCTGTGACTAATAACATCCAGAATCCCTAGCTCAGCTTCACAGAGTATCAGTATAGGAGGTTGTAAGCTTTTATTTTCCCTGGAAGTCATATATCTATAATATTTTTTTTGCAAGACAAATATGTAATGAATGCCTAAATTATGCAGTAATCCTTACATTTTAAAAATTTACTTTCAGTGATTATGGGTACATAATAGTTGTATTTGTTGGGTGCATGTGCCGTTTTGATATAGGCATACAATGTGAAATGATCAAATTAGGGTCACTGAAGTATCTATCACCTCAAGTGTTTATCATTTCTTTGTGTTAGGAATATTCTAATTCCATTATTTTAGTTATTTTAAAATATACAATAAATTTTTGTTAATATAGTCACCATGAAGTGCTACCAAATAGTGGATCTTATTCCTTCTATTTAACTGTATTTATTTAATAAAAAGAAATTATTTCTTTCAGAAAAAAAAAGAAAGAAAAAGAATTTACCCACCCCTTCCCATTTTCTTAGGGCATTTATTTTAGAAAATTTGCAGTTGTAAATTCTTTCTTTTCTCTTTGAAGTGAATATAAATCTTTTTGAAAACTAGATAGGCTTTTTGTCAACTTTATGCCTCAGGAATGTTTGTCAAAGACCTGGGAGCTATCTCTTTGAAATGTAAATATCAATGGGCCCAATGGATCATGACTGTAATCCCAACACTTCTGGAGGCCAAGGTCAGCAGATCACTTGAGGTCAGGAGTCCAAGACCAGCCTGGCCAACATGGTGAAACCCCGTTTCTACTAAAAATACAAAAATTAGCTGGGAGTGGTGGTGGGCACCTGTAATTCCAGCTACTCTGGAGGCTGAGGCAGGAGAATCACTTGATTCTGTGATTTTCAGTTCACTGCAACCCAGCAGGTGGAGGTTGCAGTGAACTGAGATTGCACTACTGACTCCAGCCCGGGCAATAGAGTGAGACTCAGTCTCAAAAAAAAAAAAGGAAATGTAAATATCAAGGGAGTGAGCATCCCTCATACGGTTTGGCTGTGTTCCTACACAAATTTCATCTTGATTTTTAGTTCCCATAATCTCCACATCATGGGAGAAACCCTGTGGGAAGTAATTGAATCATTAGAGCAGTTACCCCTATGCTGTTCTTGTGATAGTGAGTTCTCATGAGATCTGATGGTTTTTATAAGGGCTTTTTTCCCTTTGCTCAGCAGTGCTCTTTCCTGCCTCCTTGTGAAGAAGGATGTTTTTGCTTCCTCTTCCACCATGACTGTAAGTTTCCTGAGAGCTTCCCAGCCTTGTGGAACTGTGAGTCCATCAAACCTCTTTCCTTTATAAATTATCCAATCTTGGATATTTCTTCATAGCAGTATGAGAAGGAACTAAAACAACCCCCAATCTACCAGTTTCTGTGGGAGGGTATAAGATAATATTCCATGGTGCCTTGATCCAAGTTACAAATATACCTCCTGTCAAAAAGATATAAGCAGTTTGCTTTTCCTATGGATAAAGTCAATCAGTTTACACAGATGGTCACCCCAATTACCAGGTGATTCTAGGATGAACTATGTGTGACAAATGGTGTTATATAGTCCTCTTACTTGAAGACTATTGAATGTTTACCTAGAAAACACATATGTATGTGATGGGTTATATATATCAACAACATAAAAGGGTTATATATTATAAATTTTGCTCTGCTAGTTCTTTGCAAGCTCTTAGTGGATTGCCTATGATAAGCATCACATTCTCATTTAATACTCATTCAATAATAAAACTGTTTACTTTCTCTACTACCTTAATGGAGAAGTTTTGTCGGTTGGGAGATTTTGTTTTTAATTAAATTTCCTCAACAGTAAAAAGGAAATTACTCTATAACTGAACCCAGCATTTATCAGGCCAGCCCTGTGATAAGCACTATCAGCAGGTTCCATTACAGAGTTTCTACCATTGTTACTTGTCTCTGAGGTATCTTAAACAAAATTTGATTACTGTAATCACTGCTCAGATGTGTAACAGGTAACTTTAGGCTAACTTATGTACCGTTTTGGACTTTCAATCTCTGCCTGTAATTATGGTAAGGCTGTGATGAGTCTTTCCTTTTTCCTTCCTCTGGCCGCTAAAAGCCAGCCATCCTCAGTTCTTTGAATTTACCCTCATTTAAAGTCGGCTTCAATCTGAACATTATTCTAAGCAGCCAATCTCAGTTCCTGCCTGCTCCCCCTTATATTTTTCTACAGTCCCAAATTATGGCCAAATTACCCTATTGGAGGGTAATTCTCATCTTCATGCTTCACAATTAACTTCATTTCAAACAGGATTTCTCTTACATCAGTTTGAGATTAGGAATAACTTTCACATTGAAAAGAATGCACATATATCCATGTTTTCTTTTCAAAGGATGGTAGAAGGTCTGAGGTAATTCCACCATGTCTCAGGCAATTTTTTTTTTATCAACAGAACAGGACTACATTTCAATTGCCAATTATCTGCATGTCAGCTAACTTAGTCTCTGGAGTTTTAGCATACTGTTTCCAAATTGTCACAGTACTGTGATGTCCCAGGTTTAAGATGTCAGTAGCACTGATAGAAAGAGCTTACATGGCACACAGTATGGTAGGTGATGTTCATTAGTGATGCACCTCAACTTATTTCTGAAACCTGATTTCCAGACATAAGTAACATTCAGAACATCAGCTCATTTAATTGGAAGTGACTCAATCACTAAGGAAGAAAAGAACCCATTCTCTCAGAATTCACTGGCTTCTGAGTTGCATCACTCCCAGTGACTTAAATGATGCCCAAGGCTGCTTTTATTTTCAAGAAATATGTACTAATTTTAATGAGAGCCCCAGTAGACTGTCTCATCAGGGAATTCTATATGTTCTTTTTCTACTGTTAGCAACAATATTAATACAGTTGCTTGACAAATCTTTCCACTTTAAGATACCACATGTAAGGGTAAGCTTCCTTATTTGCTTGCCTATAATTACAGAAAAAATTTCCAAAAGCAGATCACCACAACATTTTTGAACCTTCTGTCAGTGACTCTTAAATTAGCAATTGTAGCTCCATGGCACCTCCAAATGCACTCTGGTGCACAGTAAAGGAAAACTACCATTTTCTTTAACCTAGAGATTTTTCTTGCAGCAATACCATTATGCTATATGTGTAGGCCTCTGGCAATGATGCTATCTAATTAATATCTGGATTCATTGAACCACTTTAAAGTGGACACAACAAAATTGTGGTAAAAAATTCATTATGATTGTGGAATAATTATCAGAGTGAAAAGACAAACTACAGATCGGGAAAAAATATTTGGAAATCATACATCTGATAAAGCATTAATATCTAAAATATATAAGGAACACAAAGAATTCAATAGCAAGAAAACAAATAACTGGATTTTAAAATGGGCAAAGGACTTGAACAGATATTTCTTTAAAAGAAGACGTATAAATAGACAACAGGTATATGGAACAATTGTTGGCATCACTAATCATCAGGAAAACACAAATTAAAAGCCACAATAAGATATCACCTCATACTCTTAGGATGACTTTTATGAAAAAGTTGAAAGAAAACAAGTGTTAGAAAAGGTGTGAAGAAAAGAAAACTCTTGTACACTGTTGCTGGGAATGTAAATTTGTACACCCATTATGAAAAACAGTATGGAGACATTAAAAAACTAAAAATAGAATTATCATATGATTGAACAATTCCACTTCAGATATATCTTCAAATAATATAAAATCAGTATGTCAAAGAGACATCTACACTCCACTGTTCATTGCAGCCTTGTTTATAATTTCCAAGAGGTGGGAATAGCCTAAGTTTTCAACAAATGAATGGTGAAAAAAGTGACAATACATAGAATATAGAATATTTTTCCCTTTTTAAAAATAAGAAAATCCTGTGCTGTCATCTGAATGTTTGTGTTCTCCATAAATTCATATGTTGAAACCTGATTTCCAATGTGGTAGTATTAAGAGGTGGGGCCTTTGGGAGATAATTAAGTCATGAGGAATCCACCCCATGAATGGATTTCATGCCTTTATAAAAGAAGCCTGAGTTAGCGTGTTTCCCCTTATGCAAATGTGAGAACACAGCTAGAAGGTGCCATCTTTGTAGCAGAGAGCAAGCCCTCACTGGACACTGAGTCTGCTGGTGTGTTGGTTGGACCTCCCCATCTCCAGAACTGTGAGTGACAAATTTCCATTGTTTACAAATTACTCCATTTACAATACTTTGTTATAGCAGCTAAAACAAAGACCTCCTATCATATGCTACAACATGAATGAATCTTGAAAAGATTATGCTATGTGAAATAAGCCAGTTGCAGAAAGACAAATACTTCATGATTCCATTTATATGAGATATCTAAAGTAGTCAAACTTATCAACCCAGAAAGTAGAATGGTGGTTGTCAGGGACTAGAGGGGAGGAGAAAATGTGGAGTTGCTGGTCAATGGGCATAACGTCTCATTCATGCAAGATGAAAAGTTCCTAACAATCTGCTGTACAGCGTTATGCTTATCCTTAACAATACTGTAATGTACATCCAGAATTTAATTAAGAGAGTAGCTTTCATATTACATTTTCTTAACCACAGTAAAAAAGAATCAAAATGGATTAAAAACTTACATGTCAAACCCAAAACTATAAAAACCCTGGAACACAACCTAGGCAATACGATTCTTGACGTAGGCATAGGCGAAGACTTCATAACGAAGATGCCAAAAGCAGTCACAACAAAAGCAAAAACTTGACAAATGAGATCTCATTAAATTTAAGAGCTTCCACACAGCAAAAAGCAAGAAACAAACAAACAAAAAACTATCAACTGTGTAAACATACAACCTTCAGAATGAGAGAAAATATCTGTAAACTATGCATCTGACAATGGTCTAATATCCAGCACTTATAAAAAATTTAAATACAATTACAAGAAAAAACAAACCCATTAAAACGTGTGCAAAGGACATAAACAGATACTTTTGAAAAGAAGACATACATGTAGCCAAGAAGCATATGAAATTAAGCTCAATATCACTGATCATTAGAGAAATGCAAATCAAAACCACAATGAGATACCATCTCACCCCAGTCAGAATGGCTATTATTAAAAAGTCAAAAAAATAAAAATAAAAAGAACAGATGCTGGCAAGGTTATGGAGAAAACACTTATACACTGTTGGTGGAATTGTAAATTCCATTGTGGAAAGATGTATGGTGATTACTCGAAGAGCTAAAAACAGAACTACCATTTGACCCAGCAATCCCATTAATAGATATATACCCAAAATAACACAAATTGTTCTACTATAAAGACACATGCATGCACATGTTCACTGTAGCAGTATTCACAATAGCAAAGATGTGGAGTCAACCTAAATCCCCATCAATGACAGACTGGATAAAGAAAATGTGATACATACATACCATGGAATACTATGCTGCCATAAATAAGAAATGAGATCAAATCTTCTGCAGCAACATAGTTGGGGCTGGAGGCCATTATCCTCAACAAACTAACTCAGTAACAGAAAACCAGATACCACATGTTCTCACTTATAAGTGGGAGTTTAATTACGAGAACTCATGAACATAAAGAAGGGAACAACAGACACACTGAGGCCTACTTGAACATGGAGGGTGGGAGGAGGGAAAGGATCAGAAAAAGTAACTATTTAGGACTAGGCTTAGTACCTGGGTGATGAAATAATCTGTCCAACAAATCCCCATGACATGAGTTTACCTATATAACAAACATGCACATGTACCCCTGAACCTGAAATAGAAGTTTCTTTTAAAAAGAAAGAAAAATAAATCATCTCTGTGACCACTAGTAGTCCAAACATAATTGCCATAATGATGAGTTCTGAGTTGTGACCTCTACCCACACACATAATATGTAGCTAATAATGATGGCCAAATTTCTCACCTTCTGTTCATACTTCACAATCAATAGAGTGTTTAAGAAAAAAGAAGTAGAAAAATTATAGAGCTCTTTATTCTTCATTTTCATATATGTCTCAATGAATAGTAGTACTAAATCTTGCAGATTTCTTGGGTAAAATATGTGTAATCTATTTAAAGCATAAGATCAATTTCTGATATAGAGTGGGCATAAAAGAAATGGCAGTTATACTAAATACATATATTTAAAATATATTTTCTTTTTCAAGACAGGGTCTCACTCTGTCAGTCACACTAGAATGCAGTCATGCAGTCACAGCTCACTGCAACCTTGAGCTCCCATGTTTAAGAGATGTTTCCACCTCTGCCTCCAGAATAACTGGGACTATAGGTGTGCAACCACCATGTCCAGCTAATTTATTTTTATTTATTTTTTTATGAGATGAGGCTTCACTGTATTGTCTGAGGTGGTCTCATACTCCTGGATTCAAGCTGTAGAAGGAGATGACTCAATTATAAATGGAAAAAATAACATAGAGATTTTTTATAGGAAACAGGAAACATAGACGTATGTTTCTATAAAGAGGCACTGCAGTATTCAAGTCACTTAACATAAAGTTATTTTAACATGTACTTATTTGCATTGTTTTTCAAAATAATTTACACTTGACTTTCTGAAATAACATTGATCTTTCAAATGCCATTGTGTATAGGTGGTACTAATCTGGCTTCAGCATGGGTATTGGCAAAATCTGGTGTTACCTTTCAGCTTTAGCCGAATAATTAAATGCTAGTTGTTCAACTCTGGTATCTATGAACTCATTGTGATCAATGGATACATGATCATGTAGGTAACCTTTCTACCTAGTTATTTTAACATCATTAAAAATATCATAAGTTGTAGTAACACTGTGGTACACTATTGAAGCACTCTTTTTTCCTGCAGCCAGGAATGATGAATGCTGACACTCATTGCTGAGTCTTTTTAGGTAAGTTGCCTCTCACTGAAGAACCTGCCTCGCCCAAGATTACATTCTCCCCCTTGTGAGCAGACCACATCTGATAACTGCTTGAAGTCGGGGTGCAAAGGCCTTGGCCCCTTGACTCAACTGGTAGTCCATGTTTTTTTTTTTTTTTTGAGACGGAGTTTCACTTTTGTTGCGCAGTCTGGAGTGCAATGGCACAATCTAGGCTAACTGCAACATCCACTTCCTGGGTTCAAGCGATTCTCCTGCCTCACCCTCCCAAACAGCTGGGATTACAGGCATGTGACAGCATGCCTGGCTAATTTTTTGTATTTTTAGTAGAGACAGGGTTTCTCCATGTTGGTCAGACTGGTCTTGAACTCCCGGCCTCAGGTGATCTACCCGCCTTGGCCTCCCAAAGTGCTGGAATTACAGGCATGAGCCACCGCGCTCAGCTTCAACTGATACTGTAAGTAGTCATCTCAGCTTCTGAATCCCCTTAGGATCAGCTGAGGCCACTTTTGCAAATGCACCACAGTTTAACTTTTCCCTGTGCCTAATCTTGCTTTCCCCATCCCTCACAGGTATTGTACATGAGCACTCCCTGTGAACTTCCTGTTCGCAAATCTTAGTCTCTCTCCCCAGAGACCCTGACTTACAATGTAAATGTAAAAGCATGTCATTTAGATTTATTATTTTTACTAATCTTTTATTATGTAAATTTTCAAAAGAAGATTTTTTTAAACTTTGTATCATGCATCTACCACCTAGATTCTACCGTCTATATTCAACTTTATCAAATGTTTGTCCACTTAGTGATCTTGGGTTTGTTTTTTAACAAATATTTTCTTTAAAATATTGGTAATCATCACAATATGTAAAATTGTCATGAAAATAAACTTTTAGCAAATATAGGCTACATGTTAAGATATTTTGAACTACCTTATCTTGTACTTACATAAGATGTTCAACCAAGATAGAATAAAAGCTATTACACATCCAAAGACTGAGCAAATAAAAGCAAGCCTTATTATATATACTTGGCACATAAAAACACCACAATACCAGTATCTTCAGACATACCAACAACCAATGTTTGCTTTCACAACTTTCCTTTGCTGAAGTCTGCTGAATAAATCAAACAAATACATCAGGAAGTATGAGTCTTTCTTACATGACGCCTGCTGTATCATTCCTCTTTAGAGAAATTGCTGAAATGTCATGCTCGCCAATGAGAGGCAGACAGAAATCTGACTGCCAGATAAAAATTCAGGAACAATTTTGTCATTCTAAAAGTCAATCATATTGTTCTGTTGCAAAAATTCTAGTCCAAAGTAAGGACAATTTTTTCTCAAGTGATTGAGTGAAGCAGCAAATGTCTGTGAAAATAGTAGATATAAAAATATAAGCAAGAGCCAAAGTAACGAGAGTGTGTCTGAAAATATTCTGAAAGAATATTTAGCATCTTTTTCCAGGTAGATAGCTTGGGGGGCGGCATCACTGGCATCATTTTATAATCACTATCCAGCCCAGGGGCTCAAGAGAGGGAAACTGAGTCCCTTAGAATTAGAGAAGTGGAAAAAGTTGAATAATGGTTATATTGTTACATCATCTGTATCCTAGATGGCAGGAGCTAGATAAAAGGAGTTGTTCCTCTTCTATCCTCAGTGGAAAATGAATGTCTATTTATAGTTTCACTAATGTGTAATATAATTACCATGGGAATAATCTATCAGGTGCTAATGTTGAAAAAACTGTTTCTGTGCTTTAAAATGCAATTTCTAAAATTATAACAAAAGTGTAACAATTAACCTTTATTTAATAACAGTTCAGATTTATTTTTGTTTTGACATGTTCTTTCTATATCATGATATTCACATTGACCAACTGTTGATTTTAACATTTTCAGCATTCAGCCAAATGTATATTCAATACACTTCTACTGAATGATTAAGATTTGCTTACTTTTTGTCAAGATGCCATTCTACTTTTATGTTAAAATTAAATTTTATGGTTTTTATTTGAAAATTATATAATATTCCTGGGGAATTCTTTTCCACTAAGAACTTTCAAGTACTTTTAAAAAGCACTCTTAAGATTCCATCTCTCAATTATCCATTTTGGAGTTAATACAAGTTTCCACAAAATTTTTAAAAATCTATTTTATTATTGGAACTATGCACCCTAATTTCAGTGCTTGTATGGAATTATTTTGGCTTTGAAACTTTTATTAAAATACATATTTTTTACCTTCTGTAGACAGCATAGTCTGTACACAGTTCTATACTTATATTTTGTTATTCTAGACAATAAGCCACAAATTACATTTTGAATAAATATTCAGGCACCTGCCAAATATGAACAAAAGAGAAATAATGAACAAGTGAGCACCTGTGAGAGAAATGGAATGTTTGTGTCCTGAGCCGGATGCTGCTCTGCTCATTTGTATAATAAGCCCTGATTCACTGGCTTACGAGAAGCAGATGCACATCTGGGCAGTGGCTTACGTACATGTAAAGGCAGTTTTTAGAAATTGCTGGACAAATATTTCATAACTCTCAGGAAAGAAATGGGAAAAGAATGCCAGATGGAAATGAATCATATGAAGGGCAAAGGACATTAGAGTAAATTATAAACATAGTGCAATTTGCCAGTTGAAGCAGGAAAGAGAAAGAAAAAAGAAAACTTTCTGACACAAAGACTCTGTTGTCCAAGTGATATTCTTTCAAGTTAAAATGTGATTGGCATGTAAACAGCTAGATAGCCCTAAATATAGCAACTTTGTTGATTTATATATTTAAATTAACTGTGGCTCATGGCTACGATCTCTGCACTTTGGGAGGCCAAGGCAGGTGGATCACTTGAAATCAGGAGCTCCAGACCACCCTGGCCAACACAGTGAAACCCCATCTTTCCTAAAAATACAAAAATTAGCAGGGTGTGATGGCACACACCTGTAGTCCCAGCTACTTGAGAGGCTGAGTTGGAAGAATCACTTGAACCAGGGAGGCAGAAGTTGCAGGGAGTCGATTGTGCCACTGCGATTGTGCCACTGCACTCCAGCCTGGGTGACAGAGTGAGATTCTGTCTCAAAGGAAAAAAAAGACAAAAATGTATATGTTTATTTTGTATGACATGATTTAAAATACATATACATTATGGAATGGTTAATAAAACTACTTAACATATGCATTGTATCACATACTTTTTTTGGTCATAAGAACAATTACAATCTCCTCTCTTGGTGGCTTTTCAATAATATAAAGTAAATGTAGTTACCATGCTGTAAAAATAGGACTCTTGAACTTATTCTTCCTAATTGAAATTTTGGATCCTTTGGCAACATTTCCCTAACTCCGCACCCTTCCCAGCCACTGGTAACCATCATTCTATTCTCTACTTCTAAGAGTTCAACTTTTTAAGATTCCATATGTAAGTGAGGTCATACAGTAGTTGTCTTTCTGTGTCTGGTTTATTTCACCTAATATAATGTCCTCCAGTTCCTCCATATTTTTGCAGATGACAAGATTTCCTTTTCTTTCAAGGCTGAATAGTATTCAGTTGTGTATGTACACCATGTTTTACCTGTTCATCTGCTGATGGATACTTAGGTTGTCTCCACCTCTTGGCTATTGTAAATAGTGCTGCATTCAAGTTCTCTGTCCCTCTTTAATTGGTTTTTTTTTATATTGAGTTATTTGAATTTTTAATGTTTTGGATATCAACCACTTTCATGATGTCTGGTTTGCATATGCTTTTTCTGATTCCACAGGTTGTCTGTTCACTCTGCTGTTTCTTGTGCTGTGCAAAAGCCTTTAGTTTGATAAAATCTCATTAGTATATTTCTGCTTTTGTTGCCTGTACTTTTGGGGTCAAATCCAAAAAATCATGGGTGAGACTAACATCATGAAGTTTTCCCCTATGTTTTCTTCTGGTAGTTTTACATTTTTAGACCTTATGTTTATGCCTTTAATCCATTTTGGGTTGATTTTTGTATATCATATAGGATATCCATATCCATTCTGCATATGGATGTCTCATTGCCCTAATACTACTTATTAAAGAGACTGTCCTTCCCCCGTTGTGTGTTCTTCGCACCTTTGTCAAAAATCAACTGACTGTAAATGTGTGGATTTCTGGACTCTTTTCTGTTCCATTGTTTTATGCATATGTTTGTATGCCAATTCTATGCTGTTTTTGTTACAATAGCTTTGTACTGTATTTTGAAGTCAGGTAGGGTGATGCCTCCAGCTTTGTCTTTTTGCTGTATATTGCTTTGGCTATTCACGGTGTTTTGTGGTTCCATATGCATTTTAGAATCGTTTTTCTATTTCTGTGAAAAATGTTACTGGAATTTTGATAGAGATTGTATTGAATCTGTAGATTGCATTGGGTAATAGGAGCATTTTAACAATATTAATTCTTCCAATCCATTAACATGGGATATCTTTCCGTTTATTTGTGACTTTTTCAATTCATTTCATCAGTGTTTTATAGTTTTCAGTGTACAGGACTTTCATCTCCTTGGTTAAATTTATTTCTAACGGTTTTTTTTAAAGCTATTATAAATAAAATTGTTTTCTTGCTGTCGTTTTAGATAGTTTGTTGTCCATGTATAGAAATGCCACTGATTTTCATATGTTGATTTTGTATCCTGCAAATTTCCTGAGCTTGTGTATTAGTTTTAACATTTTTTTTTGGTAGGGTCTTTAAGGTTTTATATGTATAAAATAATGTTGTCTGCAAACAAGAACAAATTAACTTCTTTCTTTCCAATTAGATATGCTTCATTTCTTTCTCTTGGCTAACTGCTCTGAGTAGAACATCAAGTACTATGTCAAACAGAAACAGTAATAAGTGGGCATCATTTTCCTTCTTCTGATCTTAGAGAAAAAGCTTTCAACTCTTCACCATTGAGTATGAGAGTGACCAGTGGCTTTGTCAAATATGACCTCTGTTGTGTTGAGGTACACTCCTTTTATAATTTGTTAAGAATTTTTTCTTATGAAAGGATGTTGAATTTT